CGGGTCTCCTACAAGAATGGAGATATTATCGAGCAGAACTAGAACAATTAGTTGATTTTCACATTCCAAGATGGATTGGTAAAGCGGAAGGAAATGTTGTGATGGAGCTGCACGGATTTAGCGATGCATCCAATATAGCTTATGTCGCTGTCGTATATAGTCGAACTATCGATCTCAATGGGATTATACATACCCACCTTCTAACAGCCAAAACGAAAGTAGCTCCGATAAAGCAAATATCCATTCCTCGCCTGGAACTGTGTGGGTCTGTTTTAGTGGCGAAATTGTTAACCGAAGTAGCTAAGGTAATGAACATACCAAAGTCGCATCCATGCTTGGACCGATTCGTCTGTTGTCTTGGCATGGTTAAACGATCATCCGAGTCGTTGGAAAAGCTACGTAGCTAACCGCACTTCGGAGATACTAAGTTTGTTAGACAACAAACAATATGCTCATGTCCAGTCCAAAGATAACCCGGCAGACATAGCTTCCCGCGGACTGGCGTCATCTGTTCTACTCAGTAGTGATCTTTGGAAACACGGACCGCCTTGGTTAAGAAGCGATCCCATAGAATATACAAGACCTAGCGGAATACGTACCAATGAGGAGAAGAAAGCTGTGAAGGTACATACTGTTACCTTGGTCCCGGATTTTGATGAAATTTGGGGCTCCAGAATTTCATCGCTCAGAAGGCTAGTAAGGGTTGTAGCTTGATGTAAAAGGTTTTTACAGTCAACCGGACGTCGTAGAAATAATAATAAATTAACACCTTACCTATTAGTAATAGAACTACGGGCAGCATTACATTTTTGCATTAGGCAAAGTCAGCAGCAATGGTTTCAGGCAGAAATTGTAGCCCTAGAAAACAATACGACAATAGACAAGAAAAGTCCCTTGCATAAATTAAACATCTTTATGGATAACAACAGCAAGCTATTACGCGTTGGGGGTAGGCTGCGTTGCTCTGAACTACCTAATGATACAAAGCATCCGATTGTTATACCACATGACTCAAGCTTGGCTAAGTTAATTGTAGCCAACGCGCATGAAAGAACGTATCATGGAGGTCAACAGTTGGTACTTAACTTTATACGCACCAAGTACTATATCAGCCGGGTGAAAAATCTTGTACGATCGCACATACATGGTTGTGTTCCCTGTATTCGTTATGCGGCTACTACAAAACATCAGTTGATGGGCGAGCTTCCAGCTTGCAGGGTGACTCCCAGTAAGCCGTTTTATAACACTGGCGTCGACTATGCGGGACCCATCAACATAAGGTGCTCAAAAGGACGTGGGCAGCGATCGTACAGGGGATATATCTGTTTATTTGTGTGTATGGCCACCCGCGCTGTACACATAGAAGCTGTTTCCGATCTGACAACTGAAGGATTTTTGGCAGCGTTTAGGCGCTTCGTTGCTAGACGTGGTCATTGTCGCCATCTTTGGAGCGACAATGGTACTAATTTCATCGGAGCTGCCAAGGAATTAAGAGTTCTGTTTGCTCAAGAAACCTCGATGTTTAAAAACATAGCAACTGCTCTCGCAGATTCGCAAACAGAATGGCATTTTATCCCTCTCCATGCTCCAAATCATGGTGGACTGTCGGAAGCATGGATTAAAAGTGTGAAACATCACTTGAAGCGAACAATTGGAGACTCGACACTCACTTTTGAAGAAATGTCCACGGTTCTGTCTCAAATTGAAGCCTGTCTCAATTCGCGACCGCTGTCACAGTACGCCAGTGATCTGGAGAATCCTTTACCCTTAACTCCTGGACACTTCTTAGTGGGTCAACCGTTGATAGTGACACCAGATTATAATTATGAGGACGCCACGGTAAGTACATTACGCAGGTGGCAGTTGACGCAGCGTATGGTGCAAGGTTTCTGGCACAGGTGGAAAGATGAATATCTTACACATTTCTTCCAAAGGCATAAGTGGGCGGTACGATCTAAGGAGTTTAAAATCGATGACATCGTTTTAGTTAAGGAAGATAACTTACCTCCTGCAAAATGGTTGTATGGAAGAGTCGTTGAGGTCCACCCAGGAAAGGATAATATCACTCGCGTTGTCACTATACGTTGCAAGGGTACTACCATCAAACGTCCAACTTCGAAGTTATGTTTACTTCCCACGACACAATAATCACAAACCTTGTTAAAATTGAGTAGTTTTAAAATAGTTGTAGTTATTTAGGATAATTTTTTATTGTTATGTTTGTTGTTATGTCGACATTTTGTTCTGTTGTGAAAGCTTTAAATTTTATAGAATCAATTATATCACGTCCAATGATACCGTCCCTGTACTTTAGCTAAAATTAATATACAGTCCATTGTTCTTATTACTTGAGTTTGTTCATGGTGGGCGGATGAAAAGGAAAGAATCCTTTTGGTGGGCGGAATGTACAGAACTTAATAGAATGACGTAGAAGCTGATATAATAATAAATAGCAAAAAAAAGTAATGTATTGTTGTAGATTAAAATAGGCAACCATTGTTAAACAAGATAGGTTACTAGGTAAAATAATTCCCATGTTCGACCCTAGATGGCGTTAGTGTCGAATTGAATCGCGTTATCGTTTGTCTACAACCATTGTGTTTAAGCATACACAATACGTTTAATAAATATCTTGCTCTGAGGTACTGAAGTTTGCTTTTAACGGGTATCACTGGAATCTAGGCACTTTGTACCGATATTGTACAGTCATATTGAATTTCTTTAGAATATTTTCTATAAATTGCTTTTGGTCAACAGTAATACAATCTTTATAAACCTTTACATGCATTCCTGACACTGTTTTATCTGACGTAAGTCTTTTATTCTAAATTTTGTTACCAACTCATCTTTTAATATTTTATAAGTATTCTGACAATTATAGAAAACAAAAAAATCATCAACAAATAGAGCAAGCAAGACAAACAGACATGGTTCATAGTTAGACTTTTTATATTTTAACTGTAATAGACATTCTTCTACTCTAGTGTATGTCGGCGTGGCGTCAGGGGTAGGGTTCTCGGCGTCCATATTGTTGAACAAATAATTACTTCACACTTTACAATGAACTGTGTATTTTAAGAAATATATTAACAATGTTTACACTTCGGGTAGTTTCAATAAACTGTCTCGACCGCCAACAATATTCACCTTTTATACACTAAACCATTTCCGTCTTAAAATAATATATAAACTCAATTCAAAACTGAAATTAACCGTTACTACATAATAATTAATCTGATTTATAATTATTTCCTATTTAATATTAACATTATTAAAGGAACGTTTTATAACATTCAATATTGCTTATTACTACATAATCACGTTTCAATTTGCAAATCTTAAAATTAATACTGTATAATTTTAAATTAGATAAAGATATAATTACAAATAAATACTACTTACTTTTTAAGATTATCATAACAATACTCCTTTATTTAATTTATATTAGTGCTGATATGATGTCAAATCTATTTTTGATTAATGTAAGTCAATACATACTACAATTTTACATGATTTAATTATAATAAATTTTAATGAATTATGAGTTAAACCAAGTGGATATTAAAATTAAATATTAATGTTCAAATAGATCTCAAACACGATACTTCTTAAAGAACAATGGCAGAAACATATTTACCTAAAACTTAAGCGTTTAAAAAATCCAGTCACAGTAAACTTAATCAATATTTTTTCTATGATTTATCATTACACCACCATGTGTTGTATAAGTCTTATAAGAGATAAGATATTTTTGAAGATTTTATTTGACCTAAGTACGTAATGTCAGATTCGCCATCATGTATAACTGACTAGGGATGCGTGGTGGCAATATTATATTATGGAACATTTTATCGATAATCGATTCTTATAGCTTTGGCTGAAATATTTACCGAAGGTTCACCTATTATGATTATGAATTTGCTTCTGCCCACGTCTTCACTCGTACGGTAGAGTGACTGAATCAACATAATTAGAAATTATTTAAAATATTTTTGACTCTCTTTAAACGATTTTAAACACACTAAAGAAATAGAATATAGTTACGTTATTTTCCACTACACAGTGTGATGAGAAAAATACATTGTCATTGATAACGGCACATAAATAGACATACATCGATATTTTCAAAATGTCGATACGTCGTCGTTTAGATCCTGTCGAGTTCCGGACTCACCACGTTTGTTATTTTATTTTTGTTTAATTTAGTGTTAAACTCGAATAGATGTTATGCTTTTATTTTTTTTTATTTCATATACTGTAATAATAATGAAAATAATATTTTCGGCTATCTGACACACAACGCCATCTAGTTTCAAACAAAACATTAACAATATGTTAGTACTTAACCTCGAAACATTCAAAATCCAATATCTTTTTTCCTAGACTTCTTTCGCAAGTTATTTTGATATGAGAATGGTCAAGAATATATTCTCAAGTGTTAAGGATTTTTTGATATTTAAACGCTAACATTTCAGTTCAAATAAAATTATGTATGGGGACCTGCCATTGTCCTTTAATTTATTTAGCACTCATTATGACGTCATATCAACATTCTGTTACTATGAAATCCGTACAGCGCCCATACGGCCATTCTGATCCAGCGCGCTCCTCACGCTGAACAATCAAACAGGCTCATCTAACTTATCCTAATACCTTTTATTTATTATTTAATGTTACACAGGGCTTCACCTAATGATAGGATTTTAGCCAGCAGCATGCGTCATCCATCACGGAATCTAACAAACAAGGCTTCACCCATTACGAGATCTTAGCCACCACAAAGGCATCACCACCATCGGATCTAGCCAACACAAGGCGTCACCCATCACGGGATCTAGCCAACACAAGGCATCACCCATCACGGGATCTAGCCAACACAAGGCATCACCCATCACGGGATCTAGCCTCCAAGACCGGGTAATGAGGAAACGCATGGTGGCCAGCCAGCGTTTTAGGAGGGAACTTTGGATAGGTAAAAATAAATATTCAAATATCATTACTCACTCATCCGCCCATACGGCGCCCTCTTCATCAAAGAAAGGATCCGTCTGAGCTACTGGTGCCGGTCGTAAAAAGTCATGGCTAGCGATCCTTTCACTATACCCGCGAAGGTTAACGTGCTTCAATTTATAACGGTCGTTAGGCAATACTTCTAAGACCTCCATAGGCCCTTCGAATTTTGAACCAAGTTTTGTAGTATGTCGTTCATGACGACGCATGAGGACAAATTCACCGACTTTAAATGGGTTTATGCTAGCTTTACCTTTGTCAAATCTGAGTTTGTCTTGAAAAGATCGCTCGTCCATCCTCTTTTTACAAGAAGACCTTACAGATTCCAAGTCCTCGGTCACTTCATCATCGTCAATCTGTAAAAGCTTAATAGTTGGTGGTGAACATTTTTTCCCGAGTAGCAATTCCATAGGGCTTTTGCCGGTACTTTTGGAGACAGTGCAATTGATAGCTAACTGTAAATCCTGAATAGCATTGTGCCATGGTTTATTAAGTTCGGTAACCGACATGTTATCTTCAATAATTTTCATGATGCGCTCTACCTGACCATTCGCCCTGCTGGCCCCCTTAGCCACAACATGATGTTCGACACCATACTCGCGACAACAATTATTAAATTCAGTCGAAGTCATACTTTTGTCTTGATCTGTTATAAGACGAGTTGGAGTGCCGAATATAGTTATTACTTCGCGGAAAAATCTAATAGCTGATGATGAAGTGCGGTCGTTGGTGTAAATTAAATGAACATACTTCGTGAAACTATCTATAAAAACAAACGCGTATTCGGCCAGAGCACGTTTACCGTTCATACAGCCGGTAATATCGGCATGCACAGTATGAAAAGGCACTGCAATTTTATCTATCGGATGTAGCGACACTTGCTTCGCTCCTGAAGGTCCTTTACGAATTTTACAACTTACACAATTTTCTACAAATTTACGCACTAGTTTAGACATGTCAGGAAACCAATATTGTTCTCTGATTTTAGCAAGTACTTTCTCCCAACTAAAATGTTGTAAAGAATTGTGATAGTGGCAAATAAGGCTCCAGCGGTAATTACGTGGGACGATAATGAGTTTGCGAGTTTTATTATCTATCTGGACCTTACGCCTCAAGAACTTATCCTGTAAAATAACATACGTGTCTGCGATTGTCTGGGGTATCGAATCAGACTTTAATTGATCGACAATGTTTTTTAACACTGGGTCGCGCTTTTGCTCAATAAGAAGCCAGTTATGGTCAAGAGTTGACCAATTTATCGAAAAACGTAATGTTTCGGGTACCTGATTATTATATTTTGAAACACGAGGTTGATCTAATGGGTTGCGACTAAAGTAATCAGCATGAGTTAAACGGTCTCCCTTACGGTATTCTACCTCAAACTCAAAATTTTGGAGAAACGCCCACCAGCGGTGTACCCTAGGAGTAAGCTCCTTTTTATGCCTTGAAGCCTTAAGCGAATCGCAGTCAGTTATAACTTTGAAAGGTCGACCATGTAAAAAGTGGCGAAAATGTTTAATAGCTTTTACGACTGCCAGCGTTTCCAGTTCATACGAGTGGTATTTACTTTCGACGCTGGTCGTTCGCATGCTGAAGTAACCAATGACATGAGAATTTTGGTCTCGTTTTTGTATTAATACAGCGCCATACCCGAGAGAACTAGCGTCGGTATGTAGTTCGCAAGGTAGGTCGGGATCAAATATTGTTAATAGAGGCGACCAAGTTAAACGGTTAATTATTTCCTGTCTAGCCATATCTTGACTTTCAATCCACTTCCAAGGGACATTGCTTTTGGTGAGCTCATACAAAGGTGCCATAATTTTGGAAAAGTTTGGGACAAATTTCCTAAAGTACCCTGCAAGCCCATTAAATTGTCTAAGTTCTTTTATATTCTTGGGTATTTGTGAATTAGATAAAGCATCAATTTTTCTAGGACTAGGTTTTACTGTACCGTTCTGTATGATGTTGCCGAGATATTCTACACTGGTCTTTAAAAACGAACATTTTGAAATATTTAAAGAGAATCCGGCATCAGTTAATCTTTTCAATACTAAACTCAAATTGTTTATACCTTCTTCGACTGATGTTGACATAACCATGACGTCATCAATGTAATTAAGAGCTATGCTGTCCTTATAATCGCCTAAAGCCTTATTTATTGCTCGCTGATAAACAGAAGGCGCATTACAAAGTCCAAAGGGCATCCGGAGATATTTCGAATTGGCCATCTGGTGTTACAAACGCCGTTTTCTCTATGGAGTCTTTTGCAATAGGAATTCCATGGAATCCAGCCGCCATGTCTAGACAAGTAAAGTAACGAGCTTTGCCTAATTTGTCAATTTGGTCGGCAATAAGAGGTAAAGGGTAATTATCTCGGACAGTATTGGCATTCAACTCCCAATAGTCGACGCAAAGTCGATCGGAACCGTCTTTCTTTTTGACCAACAGAATGGGGCTACTGAAAGGAGAAGAACTATCCCGGATAATATTATTTTCTTTTAAGTCATTTATAATACATTTGACTTTTTCGCGTTCTAAGGGTGACAAACGATAAGGTCTGCGTTGAACTATTTTCTCGGGTTTTTTAAGTTTTATAGTTAATTCACCCGTCTTGATCTCAGAGACACGATTGCCAAATGTGAAACTAAATTTGTAAATTTCAAGAAGGCTATGTAATTTTTTAATTAATGCAGGGTTCTTAATTTTGCTATTCACGTCAAAGTTATAATTAGTTAGTTTTAATGATTCGTTAATAAGTAATTCTCGCTTTATAGAAATACCTTCTTTACTAACCGTTACACTAAGACCCGGCGTGCTTACAATATCATAGCCAATTAAGATGTCGAACTGAGTTTGAGTATCCCCAACAACATAGAATTCTACCTCAATACACACGTCACCAAATTCGACTTTGGTCGTGATACTATGCGTCGAAACTACTGGAGAACCACCTATACCCAGAAAGGCTACGTTTACGATTTTTCGCTTTCCAGGAATTGAGCCAGCGATTTTATTCCTAATTAGAGAACAATCGGCACCCGTATCAAGTAAGCAATAGTAAACTTTATTACCTATAGTAATATTGGTTACGCTACGATCTCTTGGGGTACAGAAGTTAATTGTTTGGTTGTTAGTTAGCCCCAAACGCTCATCATTTTGTTTACGGAAACAATTATTTTCACTAAGTCCCTTTCTATGGCAATAATTACATTCTATAGATCTAATTGTATTAGCAGGTAGCAGTGTAGTAGAAGTTGAGGTCTTGGCAGGTGGAACAAGAGGACGTCTCTCTTTACATTCACGAGAAAAATGACCCGGCTTGTTACAATTAAAACAATTACCAGATAGCTTGCTAACTGGCCTAGCCATCCGAGGCTACTTGTGTAGCTTACAATTAGTGTCATCAGAACGCTCAGCCTTTCTCTTACGATATGTCTTTAATACAGAAACTAGCTTAGGTAAGGAATCAGGCGTATTTCTTAGCAACTCTGATCTAATAAATTCGGGATAAATACCTGTTATCAAGGCATCGATAACCTCAGGGTCCGTAGCTTCTGGTCTTACACGTTTGAACAGCGTCCAGCCTGTCGTAGTGTATTCCGCGTAATTTAGCTTGCTCGGAGGTGTAGCCGCGCCATTTTTGTACGTCGTCAGCATATCGAAACTCCTTGCCGAAAGTTCGAATGAGGTCTTCTTTGACTTGCTGCCACGTGGTTGATTGAAGCGACCACGTGTCTGCCCAAATCTTGGCCCTACCTTTTATTTGAAGGATAGCCTTCATCCTTGCTTCTTGCGGTGGTATATGGAAAGCCGCAATCGTCTCGTCAACATTTGCACACCAATCACGGATGTCATGAGAGCGTACATCAGGATCGAATGGTGGTAGGTAGAAACTACCACGCATTGTACTTCCCGTAGAATTAGCAGCCAAAGCCGCAGATACAGCACTTGATGCTGCTTTGCTAGTGATCGAAGAAACTAGGCTCATTACATCTTGTAATGTGAAAGTCGACTCGGTTCTCTTTTCAGAGTGTGAGGTCCGAAAAATAGGAGATTGGTATCCCTCCGCTGCTGTCGGCGTGGCGTCAGGAATAGGGTTCTCGGCGTCCATATTGTTGAACAAATAATAACTTCACACTTTACAATGAACTGTGTATTTTAAGAAATATATTAACAATGTTTACACTTCGGGTAGTTTCAATAAACTGTCTCGACCGCCAACAATATTCACCTTTTATACACTAAACCATTTCCGTCTTAAAATAATATATTAACTCAATTCAAAACTGAAATTAACCGTTACTACATAATAATAAATCTGATTTATTATTAATTCCTATTTAATATTAACATTATTAAAGGAAGGTTTTATAACAGTCAATATTGCTTATTACTACATAATCACGTTTCAATTTGCAAATCTTAAAATTAATACTGTATAATTTTAAATTAGAAAAAGATATAATTACAAATAAGTACTACTTACTTTTTAAGATTATCATAACAATACTCCTTTATTTAATTTATATTAGTGCTGATATGATGTCAAATCTATTTTTGATTAATGTAAGTCAATACATACTACAATTTTACATGATTTAATTATAATAAATTTTAATGAATTATGAGTTAAACCAAGTGGATATTAAAATTAAATATTAATGTTAAAATAGATCTCAAACACGATACTTCTTAACTTTAATTTATTTAGCACTCATTATGACGTCATATCAACATTCTGTTACTATAAAATCAGTACAGCGCCCATATGTACCATGCTCAAGCTGACTGCTTCAAACCATAAACAGCTCTCTTTAATTTTAAAACTTTATTATTACAATTTGTCATATCTGAGCATTCTGGTATTTCCATATACACTGTCTCATGAAGAAAACCATTTAGAAATGCAGTGGGTACATCTAGGTGATTAGACTTCAGCCCTAGTTCTATACTTAACGCCAACAGTAATCTTAAAGTAAAATATTTTAAAACTGGGGAGAAAGTCTCATTATAGTCTATGCCTTTTTTCTGAGTAAAGCCCTTTGCAACAAGCCTCGTTCTAAAGCGCACTTCACCTTCACTGTTAGACTATTTTTTTTAAACACCCAATTATTTTTCACAACTGTACCGTCTTTAGGTCTATCCACTAGCTCCCAAGTGGTATTCTCTTGCAAGGATTTTAGTTCCTCTTTCATTGCACACTGCCACTGTTCTTTTTCATGTCCGCTTATTGCATCGCTAAAGGAAATTCCATCATGCCTGTGCCTTTTTATCCCATTTTCTTCGTTTTTCTTTTGGTATATGTACCATTACAGGGCTGCCAAAAATCCTTAGGTGACTCAAATTTGGCTTTCTGCCGGTCCATATTTCATAGGGAGTATTATTTTGATTTAAGCCTGCTGCTGGTGAACGGTTTTTAATGTACGCAGCAGTATTGACGACTTCTGCCCAAAGAAATTTATCAAACTGGGCATCATAAAGGAGACAACGAGCCTTTTCCACTATGGACCTATTATATCTCTCGTATAGTCCATTTTGTTCTGGTGTATAGCGGTTTGTTTTCTGGTGAACTATACCACATTGCTTTAAATAGTTTGTCATTTCCGTTGAACAAAATTCCCATCCATTGTCAGATCTTAAAGTCTTTAGTTTTCTTGATTGTTGATTCTCAACAAGTTGTTTATACTGTTTAAAATATTTTAATGACTCACTTTTATTTTGAAGGAAGTATACGGTGCACATTCTGCTGAAGTCGTCCACAAACAACAAATAATATCTAGCTTTTCCAAGTGATATATTTTCCATAGGCCCACACAAGTCCGTGTGAACCAGTTCCAGGACCTCCTGACTTCTGGTAGTGCTGTGAGGAAATGGCAGCCTTGTTTGTTTGCCTTCACAACAAACTATGCAACTGGCCTTACTAGTTTCACATTTTTCAAAACTAACACCTTCAACTGCTCCATTTTTTAACTTATTTAAATCATTGGCATTTATATGGCCTAGCCGCCTATGCCAAGTCGTGCCTGAGATTTTCACTGCTGCTGCTAACATTTGTTCAGCCTTCACAACATTTAATTTGTACACACCATTTTTTAAAAACGCCTCACCTATGCATTCATTGCGTGAATTGTTTATTAAACATCACTTTGTTTCCGCTCGCGATAATTCTACTCACTGATAGTAAGTTAGTGGTGAGGTTAGGTACACATAAGACATTGTTTACATTTATAGTAAACTCCTTATTTGCGACACATGACGTGATCTGCAGATCTCCTGAGCATAATACTTTCACGACTGTTTGATTTGCAACTATAATCTCCTTAGTCTTCGGTTTATAACAAACATTTGACAATAAGTTTTAATTCGAAAGGATATGTGTGCTTGCGCCGGAATCTAGGTACCAGTCAGACTGACTGAATTCTCTTGTAAGAAAAACTGCACTAAAAGCATTTGTCTTCGTTTTCTCTGCATCCGGACATTGATTTTTAAAATCCAACGAATTAGTATTATTAGTTTTATTCCGCGCCATATTACCTCTGCTGGCATTGACAGACGAAGATGACGTTTCGTTCACTAAGTTTCCGCCGGCGCCATGTTGCTTTTGCGATTTATGGCTGCCAACATTACGCCTGTGGAAATTTTTGGTCGCAAATGCACCTTCCGACTTAACCTCAAAATCTGCACTCATGTCAAATAATTTTGTTTTAATGGAGTCCGTACTTATGTTTATACCCGAATGTTCTATTGCCATTATCATAGGTCCAAATTTTTCAGGTAATCCAGCTAACATAAGCGATCCAATCCACTGATCATTAATCTCAAAACCGGTACCAATCAGTTTCTGTGCTGTTTCGATGAGCTGGCTGACATAGCTGGTCATAGATTCGCAGTTTTCTAAGCGTATGCTTATAAGATTTCTGAACAAACTAATTTTCCGTGAATATCCTGAATCGTCGAACATGTTCTTCAACGTCTTCCATAAGTCATAAGCTGTAGTTGCCTTTTTCATATGCACGTATAGGGAACTATCTATTGTTCCGGCCGCCTTTCGTCGGGCACAAATAAAACACAAATACTCTATTACGATTGTACTTGTAAAAAAAATATACAAAAGAAAAAAAAAAAGGAAAAAAACCAAATTCAATTATTTATAATACAATTTTTTTTTTAAGTCTCAGGGTGTGACTTCTTGGCACAGGAAGCTTTCCGGTTGAACCTATGTGCACTGGGGACTTATCTGGTTATCGACTTTCGTAACGCGGGGAGGGTCTTCTGGCGAGGAACTTCCCCAGACTTCGGGGGAACTCGAAGGTGTCCTGTGTTTCCCGGTGATCCGGGTAGGCTCGCGACGGCAGACCGTGTCGCGTGGTGTTCCGCAGTCAGACCGAAGCCAAGACGTGCGGGGATCTTGCAGACCGTTGTTGTAGGCCGCGCGAAGAACGTAAGCCGTACGGAGAACGTAAGCCATTAGGGAAATGTCCGTACGGAGAACCCAAAGTTTCCAAGGGGGTTGACAAAAAAATTAAATCCGCTTTTAATTTTTCTTTTTTCATATTTATTATTTTAGAATAGCATTGATTGAACAACGTTTTAAAACTGTGGACAACAATCACGTATACGAATCGCAAACAATTAACTCTCAGGCGTCGGAATGCCTCTTTCCTCAGCGGATTCGCTTTTATACCTCTGTATCGGGACGGCCCATTTCCGCCTCTAGGCGACAATGCGTACTTTCTGGAATGTTCGTATGCTAGGAGACAGAGATATGGAAAGAACGGTGCAACCGAGCGAGAAGAAATCATTCACCGGCAGCCGGCCCGTTGTCAGCCACTGTCACTTCTCGATATTTCTAAACACCCACATTGTGGCGCTCGTTTTCCAGAAGAATTTGGCTCCGGATACCAACGATTACCTTATATGGTCATTATGATGTTATCACTAGTTAATGCGCGCGATTTCCATTCGATCGTAACAACTATTACTTTGTTTGTCTGTGTGTAATGATCTTTTTTTTCCTTTATTTATTTATTTTGTAAGTTTGTGTATTTACTTTGTTACAACGTAACACTATGGTTAATATTAGTTTTGCTTTCGCCTTCGAATCGTCTGCTATCTGAGCCGGAGTAGCCGCTGACGCTAAAGGTTCTTTGATGGTATCTGCCATTCCTTCTAGCACGAGAATGTTCTCCGCCGCGAAACACCAGTCATCGTAATTTTCTCGTCCTTTTAATTTCGGGACGTTGGCTAAGTAATTTGTAGACCTCTTCTTAACGAGCACACTGAATTTTATTACACATTTACTACTACTGTAAAAATTTTAGCGGGACTGGGCCCATAACCTGTTGGAACAAAGAAGTCTAGGAATCAACTGAACTTTTTGTAGAACTTGTCATTCATTTATACATTACACAAGTACACAGCAGGGTGGCGCTAGTTACTCTTAAATGTATTATTTTGTTATCTGTGTTCACATTTATAACAGACTTGAACTGTTACCCATAAGACCTCGCAACTACTCTTCCTGTCTGATGTCCTATTGGCAAATAAACTTCTTAGCAATTGCAATCAAAACACCTCAACCATCTTTATGATTGCGGAATCCTGTAGTTTCTCGGTCTCTACCGAAAACATTATATCTACTATCAAAGAGTTCTGTGCTGAAGACGCAACTATTCAGCCATGTCTGTGTCAAAACTATAGCGTCGTAGTTTGTACAGGCCAAATTACAGAAGAGTTCTTCAGTTTTAGATCGCAAACCACGGATATTTTGGTACAAAAGTAGCGAATTATAAAACATTACTTATAAACATGCAAAAAATACACCATAGTGATAAATGAACTTAATTATTTTAGTTTATTTTGCTAAATGAGACCATGTCTCTAATAATACGATCACCTGTCTTTCTCTTAAAAATTCGGCCTCCTCTGACCCAGACGTGCTTGTAGCCCTTCTCTTTTGCTTTAAGGCGCGTTGCTGCATGTAAAGCTTTGTTGGTAGGACTTAAGTGTTCAGTGACGAAAATAGGTGATTTTTCGCCCCCAAGACTAAGGTGGTTGGTGTTTAATTCGTCGTTGAAGTTTTTGTTTTTATTGATGTTAATACAAGAAGCTAAGAAAGTGTGCGTGTCTTTGTGTGTTGAACTGGATTACAATAGATTTAGGACGATAACTGTCACCTTTGAACTTCATTGCAAGTTAATACATTTTCTTCCTTAATTTCACAATCTGTGACCTTACCAAAACTTCACACTTGACTTCTTGATCAGTACCAAGGACCCTGGACTGGCTTCACCTCTAGAATAAAACCACTTTGATTTTAAGCGCCGAAAATTCATTAGGGTTTAATGAATGTGAAGTGAGGGGACGCGAATTTAAAACCGCCTCTATATGAGTGAGAAAGGTAGTCATCTCCTCAAATGTGAAGTGGGTAAGACGCAGTAATCTTTTTAAATGGTGTTTTCAGGATTTACCTGCAGCTTCAGAGAGTGAAATAAAATGCGTGCTGTATGCGGGCGTAAAATTAAAGTCGATTCCCTCCTGAGCCATTTTAGACGCAACACTTGATGATTGCAAAAAATTATACAGGTCGTTTGATGCACCTACAAAGTATGTTCCATCATCGGACGTGATGCTTCGAGGCCTGCCTCGACGCGCCACGAAACGATTTAGAGCAGCCATGTAAGCCTCAATGGTGAAATCTTAGACGAGCTCCAAATGTACTGCTTTGACTGCCGCGCAAACAAAGATGCACAGGTATGATTTTGTAAGTTTGCAACCGCGACCTTTGCGATCGGCTACCAATGCTAGACCCGCGTAGTCAACATAAGAATTTAAAAATAGATATTCAAGATTTGTTCTCGAATTAGGTAATTGACCCATTATCATCATCATCATCAATCATCAACAGCCTTTAATAGTCCACTGCTGGACATAGGCCTCTCCTTAGAAAGGAGGTTTTGGCCTACTATACCACGCTGGCCAGACGGGTTGGTATAGGGTTTTTTCAAGTTTTCCTTCTCTTTTCAGTGCTGCTGTCCTGCGTAGTTTGTTCCCTTAGTCGCCTCTTACGACACCCACGGGATGAATAGGGGTGGTGACGTTCCATATTCTTAATCCGTCACCACACGGACATTATCGGTTGAACGTTTTCAGCTTTGTGTCTGAAACATTTAAACACTCATTCACGATAAACCTAGACAAGTTTCGACCACCTAGAGGCCAATACGTTTGTCAAATATGCGACAAAAGCAATTGAGGACCACAGTGTAAAAAATGTATATGTTGCAATTAAAATAAATGTTTTGTGAAACTATGTTTACTACATAAAACAATAGGGTGTTTGGTTTTAAAATCGTAGGGGGAGTTATCGGCGGGCACGCCGTCATCGCGGCGGTAAGACCCGTTATGGAGGCTCGAGAGGCGTCACGGGACCCTCTCATACCGAATGACGCAGGTGATCACTGGGAAAGGATGTTTCGGGGATCACCTGTGTCTGATCCGCAAGGAGCCAACGCCTGAGTTCCACCACTGCGATGGCCAGACCGTGGACACGGCTCTCCACACGCTGGCAGAGTGCCCGGCGTGGGTTGAGCAGAGGCGAGACCTCGTGGCGGCCATCGGAGTGGGAGTTCTCTCGCTCGATAGCCTGATTGCGGCTATCGTGCGGAGCGAGAGTGCGTGGAACTCTGCCGTCTCCTTCTGTGAGCAAGTTATGCTCGCGAAGGAGACGGCGGAGCGGGACCGGGAGAAGTTTAGGACTCTCCCGGCCCGCCAGGCCCGGGAACGGGCCAGGTACCACAGGCGACTCAGGCGCCGGAGGTCGCAGAACGACCTCCGTCCTCCATAAGCGCAGGCCTGGGGGTGACAGGTGAGGCCATCTGTCACCCTAGCAGAAGAAGGCCGAAGGCGCGTTGCGAAGCGCGCTCGCTTCCAGGGAGCACAGGGAACATGGGGTTCCCACACCCGGGGGGGGGGTCGTCTACTCGTCTGTAGATGACCCGAGGTATGTCGGGGCACCAGGGACTTCCTTTCTAGGGTATTAGTACCCGAGACGGCGTGCGGTTTTATTCGGTTCGAGTCCGACATGCCACCGACAAGTGGTACCCGAGGGGATTTCCTAAGGGGAAAAAAAAAAAAAGGGGGGAGTTATCGGGGGTACGGGGTCTAGAACCTCCATGTGGTGCACCCTGGGCAACGAAGACGGCATTGCCTCTCTCTCGGGTGGGAGAGGCACTGCCGCCTACGGCCAATTCCGGCCGAGGTGGGAACGACCCTCCTGAGGGTTGTTCGGAGGCTTTCCGCGTGTTCCTCTGTTTAGCAGAGGGCACAGTGGAGAGCAAGCTGGAGGGCGGACGGGTTCTCTACCGCTGGCTTGGTCCAGAGGTAGTGGACATTGGTTTGATGTAGACCACCGTCCGGCCAAGTCGTAAGTCTGACTGGCAACAGTCAGAAACGACGGCTCTTTGAGGGCTACGAGGAAGGCAACCTCTTTAAAAAACCTCGGGGCGGACTGCGCCTAGGGAGTTCCTCCCGGAGACAAATGGCTCCGGCAGCTCCTAGTCGTATTCTGGGGGGAGCAACCACTGTCAAACCCGTCCGTCGCCGAGCGGTAAATCCAACGACCAAAACAGCGCGAAGGATGCGGAAAGACCTGGGGCAGTGTTGGATTCTGACACTGCCTCAGAAAGGAGCGGAGCGGAGACACCGATAGTGTCTGCTGCGGAGCAGTACCAGCGCGGTACCCAAAAGCGCAAAAGGCGACGGCCCCACAGGAGAAAAGCCAGCTGGAGACAGCCTCCGCTCACCGTCCGCCTACCGGCCCATAGTGCTGCTTGACGAGGTGTGCAAATTCTTCGGAAGGGTGATTGCATGGCGCCTCGTCAAGCATCTAGTCATAGTGGGGCCGGATCTGGCGGACAACCAGTACGGTTTCTTTCAGGGGCGGTTCACCGTGGATGCGATCATGTGCGTGAGGGCTCTAGCGGAGGAAGCGGTTTCCCGGGGCGAAGTGGTGTTGGCGGTGTCCTTGGACATTGCCAAAAAAAAAATGGTTCTTGGTATTAACATTGTGCTGACGACTACATGATGTAATAGAAACATCTGTTGTATTGTCTGGTTGTTAGCATTGTCTTTATTTGTCTTTATTGAATGTTGTGTTTATTGTTAAATTCATTTATTAATAGATTTTTTTGTTTACTCATGTTCATGTTTGTATCTGCTTATGCTTGTATTTGTATGAGAATGTGTTGAATGTGTGCCCCCGTATGTAATCATATATATGACCTATATGTGATCGCATATCGTATCACGTATCACATGACCTGGCACTTATTGCTTATGGCACAGTATTGTAATGTGTTAGATATCTATACAGACACAAGGGCAAGGACAAGTGATACGATCGCCGGTTCGCTATGCACTGGTTTATTCAAGAAAAACAATACAACGGCCGGCGGCGGCACCGCGGCGTGCGCGGGGAAGGGCGCGCTAACATACATATTTAACATTCCTCCCCTTATTACAGTATTTAACTAATTCAATAACACAAAATACCTAAAAGTATTTTTTATAACAAACTTTTGGACGTTTCCGTAATGACCTCCTTGGTACTTGTATCGGACTCGACGGTGAACTTTGTATCGGAGTCTCACTCGGTGCCACAGGTACCGTTTCCAATTCTGTTGACTCATCCTCAGAGTTATCTTCTCTCTCCAGTAACTCCTGCCGAATTCCTGAGACAAGCTTGCTGCTCTCCTGCTGTAGTAAGAGGATCCTCTACATCCTCCTCTTCCCTAGATGGTGATGTCATCGTACTCGTATTAGGTTCGTCAAGTTCGATTGTCCTTATAGGTGAATTGCGCCCACCCACATTTGGTGACGATGAAGGCAGAATAGGCACTCTTGAAGCACCCGGTGAACTTCTAATCGTAGTCTGCAACGGTGGTATATGTTGGTATATGTTGGTGTATATTGGAGATGGTATATGTTGGTTTACAGCTGGACTTTGCGTTCTATACTGAGGATAACTTTGAGGATGGTCATTATACCCTTTATAAGGAACCAGCTGATTTATGTGTCTTTTACAATTCTCTACCCTAGAGAATTGTAAAAGACACATAAAAAATCAAATCTTTAACCAAATATACAACTCTTCCTAATCTGGCAAGTATCGTTCCCTTACACTAAGTGTATTTAGCTTTCATAATAAACCTTTTAAATAGCACTGTATTATTTTTACTAAAACACTTTGATTTCCTTTTTCCTTGTTCCTCAGTTTGCGAGTACTGTTGATTACAACCGAAATTTGTTACCGTCGGTGACAAGGCTGCTGATGACTTTGGATCGATCAAATCTAAACGTGACCTTAATTTGTACCCAAATACTACTTGAGCAGGGGACAACCCCGTGGTAGAATGAACCGAGTTACGGTAATCCATTAGATATTTTAACAATGAAATAGACATCTTGGTTGGATTATTACCTGACAACAAACGTATTTTTATTCCCTTTTTTACCACCTTTACAAAACCCTCTGCCTGGCCGTTACTTGCCGGGTGATACACGGGTGATGTCAAGTGACAAATCCCATTGGAAGTGCAAAATGATTGAAACTCTCGCGAACAAAACGCTGTGCCATTATCACTTACTATAGTCTCTGGGATACCAAACCTTGACATAAAATCATACAACTTCCCAACCACCGCAGTGGAAGAAGTAGCAGTATTCATATTGTATACTTCGACCCACTTACTATTTGCGTCTACTATAACTAAATAAACAGACCCCCCAATCGGTCCCAAGAAATCTACATGTATTCTGTTAAATGGACGCTTAGGTAATTTCCAATGAGCTAAGGGGGCGCGTGGAGGTGAAGGCCGTAGTTGTATACATGTATCGCACGACCCTATCATTGTTTCTATAGCTTCATCGAGGCCTGGAAACCATAATCTTGATCGAGCTTCAGCTTTAGTTTTGACAATACCTAAGTGTGAAGAACGCAATTCTTCTAAAACAATTTTGTATAGGTTTTTTGTATTACGATTTTATGACCTCTCATTACGCAACCATTCTCATATGATAATTGAGATCTACACAAGTGATAAGGTTTTAACCGTATGTCATTAAGTTTTGGTGGCCATCCCTTCAAAATAAAATTAATTACTAATTTTAAAACGTCGTCATCACGCGTCTCCTTACGTAACCTATCTATTGTCACGGGCATACCACCATCCGCAAGAAAACAAACATATGTGGCCCGATCATACGATACCTCGCAGTCGCAACACTGGCACTGTTCGGTGCACGCGCACTCATGAACAGTGCGCGGTAGACTTGCGCGCGACAGATAATCGGCACTATTATTATTGCTACGCACATACTCTATCGTATAGTTATAACTACTAAGGAACAACGCATACCGTTGAAGCCTATTTGCTGACATTTCTGGTATTCCCTTATAGGGCCCAAAAATTGATAGTAGTGGTTTGTGATCCGTTCTTAAAATAAACGGTTCACACCTACTATATAAAAATTGATAAAACCGACGCACCCCGTAGATAATAGCCGTTGCTTCCCTTTGAATCTGAGCATATAGCTTCTCCGCGGAGTTCAGCGTTCGCGACACAAATGACACGGGCTTTTCAATGCCATCTAGCCCCACCTGTGAAAGGACTGCCCCCAAACCGCTTGGGGAAGCATCTACGGTTAATATTATTTTTGCCTTAGGATCGAAATGTGCGAGAACCTGATTGGACGTCATTAACTTTTTAATTGACTTAAAAGCCGAATCGTGAATATGATTCCAGTTCCATTTAGTACCTTTTCTCAGTACTTCGTAAAGCGGACTAAGTATAGAAGATGCGTTTGGTACAAAACTTCTATAATAATTAATTAAACCTAAAAATGACTGCAGCTGCCTAACGTTTGTGGGAGTAGGCGCTTCTACCATAGCCTTAATTTTCTCAGGTGCTTTTTTCAGCCCATCTTTTGTAATAATATAAACTAGGTAACTGACTTCGTCGTGAAAGAAGGTACATTTTTCCTTTTGTAGTGTGAAGCCTGCGTTCTGCAACCGTTCTAAAACCGCATTGAGTCGTTTTAAATGTTCCTGTCTATTTTTCCTGTAACCAAAATGTCATCTAACAGGCACAGGACTCCATCAACCCCCGACAGTACGTTTTCGATCGCGCGCTGAAAAATAGACAGCGCGCTGGCTAACCCAAACACCAACCGTGTAAACCTATATAACCCGCGGTTCGTATTAATACATGTCAGGTTTCTCGAATCTTCCTCTAAAATAAACTGATTGTAAGCCATAGATAAGTCGAGCTTACTAAATTGTTCACCCCCATGAATCTTTACAAATAATTCGTTGGTTGTGGGGAGCGGATATTGTTCTACTAACAATTGTTTATTTATACTTATGGAATAATCTGCACATAATCTGACGGTCTCGTTTCGTTTTAACTATTACACACTATTGGAGATGCGTATTTCGAATATTCAATAGCTTCTAAAATACCCAACTTCTCTAAACTAATAATTTCTTTATCAACCTTATCGCGCAAAGCAAACGCTACCGGTCGTGCCTTACAGAATACCGGTTTAGCACCTTCTTTCAACGCTAATTTTATTTTATATTTGTTAAAAGTCCCTAACTTATCTGAAAACAGTTCTGAGAATTTTAGTTGTAGGTCCTTGATAGTTAATTTATTGGAGTCCGTACAGTAATTAATAGGCAACAGTTGTAAATTAAAAAGCGACATGAAATCCCTGCCCAGAAGTGGCGGGCCCCCGTCGCGTACTACGTTAAATACAATCTGACGTTCGTGCCCGGCGTATTGTATCGGTAACCGAAGCGTACCTATACATACTATTCTACCTCCATTGTATGTCATCAGCTGTTTACACGTACGTGATAATGGCACATTTTTAAAATGAGTGTTATAAAAGTTCTCTGAAATTACACTCACGGCAGACCCGCTGTCTGATTCAAATTTACATGGAATATTATTGTTGCTGTTTCTACCATGGGTTCCCCCCTAATAGATCGGATAACAAAAATCTTACCGTCATCATCAGCCTCGCTACCACAGCTAACCACATCTACGTAATTCATTTTCGTACACATTTTACGTAAATGGCCTTTAACGTGACACTTTTTACAAGTATAAATAGCGAATCGATATTCCGCCGATTTGTGATTTGTATATCCACAAACACTACACTTGGTTTTCACTACTCTTCGACCGTTATTTGAAATCTTGAAAAGCTGAAGGTCACGATGACGGATGACCGCGCAGCCGCGCCTTCGCTGGCTGCGATGGCCGCGCGCGCGACGCTCAAGTTCTCCGCCATCTCCACGACTCGGGCCAGGGTGAGGTTCGACAAGTCTTGCGTATACAGCTTTTCTTTTCTCGCCCCGGCCGCAACCCCATAATAAACCGGACTGCACGGATGGCGTAGTGGTTTAAGCGGTCGCCACGCCGCTTCCTACTACGTCGAGTGTTGTGGGTTCAAACCCCACATGGGACGACACTTTGTGTGATCCACAAATTGTTGTTCTGAGTCTGGGTGTACTTTGTGTCCGTTTCATGTATGTTTGTAAAGTCCCCCGCGACACAGGATTTATTCCTAATGCGGGAGTTGTCTTTTATAAAAAAAAAAAAAAAAAAAAAAAAAACCGGTCTCGGAGCGCCTCCTCGACGTTGAGGAATCCACACCTTTCCGACAGTCCTCGCAATCTGGCCACCCACTGGGAGTGAGTTTCTCCCACCTGCTGGACGGCTGCGTAAAAATTGTGCCGTTCCCCAAACCCGACACACTTCAGCGTGAAGTGACTATCCAGGAGCGATAGCAGGTCTTCATAAGGAACATCTTCGATATTTTTAGGCAATGCCAAATCTGTTGTGAGCTTATAAGTACCCTCAGCGAGTGCACTGAGAAGGATCGCCTTTCTTTTCATGCCCGTGGAATCTGTCTGCCCGTTGATATCATTTGCAATGAAATATTGCAGTATTCTACCTTTATACGTTTTCCACGTCTGTATATTGTGGTCAAACGTATTTAAAATACCAAATTGCACACTGCGATTCGACATTTTACGATGCACTTTTTAATAATCGCGGGTAATTCGTCGCCACTGTTAGATATCTATACAGACACAAGGGCAAGGGCAAGTGATACGATCGCCGGTTCATACATATTTAACATAATGTTACCTACATATCTATGGAGACTTGTTTTTAGCAACATGAACACACATTTGTATTAACCATTAATTTATTAGTCTGTAAGCCTTCTTCAAAAGTAAATAAAAAAAAATTATATTAAATAATAATATACTCCTGCGCCAAACTGTTACTTTATAATATCTAATCACTTCTAAAACAGGCTTTAGGAAACGATCATTAAATAAATTATGTATGTTGGAATTTATGTAAATTTTGTATCTCTAAGTTTTATTATCTGTTTAACGACGGCTTCGCCCCTGGCGTCCGTCGCAGGGGAACCCCACGCAATGGACTTTGCGTTGAAGACCCCTAGCACGAGGACGTGTCCAGACACTAGTCGCCGCATCGAGGCCTCCAAGTTGTTAAGGAAGACCTCGAAGTCGTTCAAACTCCGGTTGGGGGAGAAATATACGCCATAAATGGTGATTCCTCCCCAATCGGCGGCAACATATCCAGTACCCTTGTCTCTTAGCGACAAGGGCGGGGAATGAGCCGCCGTGGAGCCGACGACTGCCACGGAGCCGGTCACCCATCCAGTTTGGACGGGGAGGGACAAAATAGGGCTCCGCGACTACGGCAACACCTATCGACCACTATGCCATGGTTTGCAGGAAGAGATCCTGCGCCGCAGCACAGTGGTTCAGATTCGTCTGGACCAGGAGGTTGGAGACTTGATCCATTACTGGATCGTCTCTACAACCTCCTCCATGGGCGTCGGCGTATGATTGACGTCGGAGGCAGCCTGGGTCGGCAGGCTAGCCCCCGGCGTTTGCCGAGAAGCGCGGGGAGGCTTGCAGCCCCCCTGCCCCATCATGTGATTGGCGGGCTTTTTAGCCGCCGCACACACGGGGCAGTGGGGGGCGGCAGAGCACTCTGCCGCCTTGTG